CACCGACAATTTTCCTAAAAACATCATCCGGCAAAACTCGAATCTCCACACGATTATTTTTCAACTTCCTCAACCTCAACCCAGCATAATGCACAAACACAATCGCAAGTACATAATAATAATTATTTCTCATTAAACCACGAGTTGACTGTCTCAATAACTGGACAAAATCAAAACTAGAGGTCATCATTTCATCGGGAAAATAAAAATTCACAACAAAAATTAATGAAAATATCAGGAATGGGGGAATAAAAAATTGGAAATGGAGTTGTTTTCGGTAATGGTGACAGGTTATCTCGATCCATATGACTTTGACAGTCTGCTGGATTGAGCACCACTGAGTTCCCCTACAATGGCGTAAAACCTTCCACTAAAATTTCCACAAATCCGATTTGTTGCAAAAATAATAACAAAAATGATGTTCATTTCGGTGAATGAAAAAATTTCGAGTTCCACCAAGATATCCTCCTGACAATTTTGATTACTTTTTGGAGTACACCTCCTTTGTTATTCAAAAATTTGATTTGGAAGGTTTGGGGTAGAGGGCAAAGTCGCAGGATCGATGAGGATTTGAAATGAGAAAACTGTACGCAAAGGTGGAGATAGTTGGAGACCATAAAATGCATAAAACCGTTGATGGCCGTTGAGTATCGACATAACCTAGTTGAATAGCGTCATATTACTTATTATCCACTGCTGTTTTCCTTCTCAATGCTGGATTAATGACTATTTATCTGTGATTGCAGTCAGCACAGGTATTATGATAATAACTGGTGAGTAGTTCGATGATTGATCCATGGGTTTTTGTAAAAGAGGGATAAGATTTAGTGCATCGAAGTTCGTGGAATAACCCTGACCCTACTTTGCATTTTGTCGGTTCACGGATATTATTTTACATTATTTATTCGCTTTTTTTTCGATTGGAATTCTCGGATACTCCGGAAGTATCAGTTCACAGGACTTCGCATTTTATTGCTTTGGGATTCCAGATTATTCTACACATGATAGAATTGAGTCATGAGATAATCGCAATGATAATAGTTCAGTTTCTTTTATAATCCATTTATTTACTTTCATGTATTTGTTGTATTTGTTGTTAAATATGTTGATTGGAGTAATTGAATTGGGAGGGATGGAGTACTCATTGCAATGATTCATTGCAGATACTGACGATGCAATATTAAACTTTGATTACGTGGTTCAGATTTTCAAGAATATTCCAGAGAAGTTACGGCTCAAAGTAATAATTGACGACAAAATCATCGAAGTTCCATTGAAGTGGTCCTGAATTTTATTTTATTATTATGTTATTCCTATTTCTATGACCTCTGAGTTACGATTTTTTTTGTGAATGAAGAAAATCCCCCCAATTCCCCAATTTATTTCCTTATTCAGCCAGAGAATTCGTACTACAACAGTATTAAAATATTAGTTTAATGATCCATTGCACGTAAATGTGATAGTTTCCCTCGTAATTCAATCTCATTTGTGGATTTTCGTAATTTGAATAGCTATTTTCCCCTGCTTCATTGATGTATCTTGTTACGATGAAATATTAATTTCTGTAGTGGAAGCCTATAGCAAATCGATTAAAATATCAAGTCGGAGTTATTTCGTGGTTACCTGAAGAGCGAATAGTTGAGGAGAAAAACATTGAATGTTAAATTACAGCAAAAAGAATATGATTTGAATTAAATCGACTGAAAACTT